GGCGCACCTTCGCACCCCGAACGCTGGGCTCCCGGGGGAGGGGGGGTGGTTTGGGTGCCCGTGCGTGAGTGAGCGGTGTTCTGTGCAGGCTGGAAACGAGCTAATCCCTCGTAGGAAATGAGAGTTACTTTCAACTTTCAAGTGTACCTGAAATGTTTAGAAAACCCTCAGATGCGAGTTCCCTCGGGCTGGGGCTGCGCGGAGCCGGAGAAAGGCTTTTCATACGGCGAGGGCAGCTCCGGGGTGTGTAATTTGCTTAGCCTCTGAACTCCATCTGATTTACATTATTCAGATTTTTAGGCGCCTTTCCTCTTGATCTGCTATTATGAAGTCATTTTAAAGAATATTTTGCAGGCGGAAACGTTATATGCCGCATGAAACCACCTTAGCATAGAATATCTAAAGTTGAGGCTGTTAGCAGACAGTCGTGGAAACCCTGGTGCTTAACGTACGGGGGGGGGGAATGTGTCTGGTGAGAAATTTAGTACTTTGCACGCCAGCTGAAACAAGCTTTTTCCCTGGGCACAAACCAGCACAAAAGGCCAAGCTGGGAGCTCTCAAGACTCTCTGAACTGTACTGAAATAAAGCAGAAGCGCAGATTCGAGGCTAATTCAATTCTCTCAACTTTGAACTTGGGACTCCCAAGATAAAAGTATTCAACGTCATAGCTTTTAATAGAAAGCAAAGTTTCAGGGACCTCCAGAAGCACTCTGTGCATAGGCAGAACGTGCAGCGTGCTAGTGAATTTAGCAGGGGGAGATTAATAATGCTGTGGCCTGCTAATGTGATGATATATGGCACCTGCGGGCTGCCGGAGCTGCTGATCAAAGAGCAGCACGGGGATCAATCTCTAATCAGAGCCACTGTGAAGGGCCAGAGGAAAGCGATCAAAAGGCTCAGAGATCCGGCTATTCTGACAGGAAACCAACGAGACGTGTGCACAGTACAGGAAATTATCTGCTCTGTGCGAGGAAAGAAAGCACTCGCTTTCTACCCCTTCCCCGCTTACCTGGCATTCCGAGGCTTTGGGGCACCAGTTTGTGACAAAATGGACTTGGCGCTAACGCACTAGAGTCTCGTGCTGTTACGCTGCCTGCTGTTAAATTTGGGTGGTGGGCGTGTGAAGCATGTCGACACACATCACCGTTGCTTTGCTTTAATTTTGTCAGGAGTGGAAAGAAACCTGTTGCGCTGTCAGTCTGCCCCGAGAGGTTTGTTACAGGGTAACGCAGCTGGGGCCCAAAGGGCTGCCGGGGTCTGACAGTGGGAGCACAGCGATAAAAGGTGAAAGGTAGAGCACGCGGCATAGAAGCAAACCTGGTGTAATAGGTGTAAGTATACGTGACAACACAAACTAGATTCTGTTCGCGTATATCAGAAATGCAACTGCCTTAGATCAGGCTTCAACTGGTTTGCAGTGCAGTTTCGCATGCTCTAAGATACACTTGATGCGTCTTAACAACAGATAGAAGGCCAGGATAATCTTCTTTTTAAAAAAAGTGCCCTGAAACAATATTCTGTGGTAGTTTGTACTTAAAACAGTCCAGGTTCTTCTTGTAGCTTACTTGAAGTTTGATTTCTAGTTGTTCAGCTGCAAAATTTACTTTAAAAATTAGCACAAGTTTAGGTACAGCTAAGTGCCAACTCCTGACTTTTCCTAACTGATTTTAATTATTTGGGGGATCAGTAACACTGGTCAAACCAGTTCTTACTTGATTTAATTAGGGTGATTTTTACACTCTGCTGCAATCTAAAGATTGTATAGCTTTTAGCTAGAGGCAGGTTAAAACTCCCTGGAGTATGAGAATGAGATATTGCTGTTCACATGCCAAATAATCTTTGGTCAGAAGAGAGGGAGCTTTTTCACTCACGCAGTCTACAAATAAAAATTCTGTCCTCTGTTGTAAAACTGCTAAATGGCCAAGAAGTTTTGCAGTAGAATGGATCACAGTGTTACTCAGCAGCACACGTGGGTGCTGTAGCTATTGCTTCAGGGTGATGCTGAAGATGTCTATGACCAGTTATTTAATCGGTGGGACTACTTGTGTTACAAAAGGGTAAGCATGTGCTTAACGATTTATTTTTTCATGGCTGTTTTTTATTTATTTGTTAGCTAAATGATTTTTAACTTCAAAATTACAATTTGACTCGATTTATTTACTAAATGCAGACATAAGGAATTCTCTTGTCTCTGCTGCATAGTGAGTGTCATTTTGAGATTTCCTAGCGTAAATATTTCTTTGTAACTGTAAATTAGCTATTCTTAGAACACAGTATTTTGCTGCTGCCTCCTAGGAATTCAGTATGATGGTTGTTGTGGGGCCAGTGTAGCTCCATTTGAAACCACTTAAAACTACCTTCTTGTTTTTATTGGCCCACTGTTGTAATAAGATTTTCTTTAACAACACGTTTTATTTGTAAACTCTGCTTGACAGTAAGGGGTTTCATGTGATTTCCTTGAAAAATTCATATTTATCTGTAATGTTTTATTTGTAATCCAAGTGAGTAAATACTCATCTGGAGGATCAAAGAAGTTTATGCAACAATTTTCTGGAAACTGAAGTAGCAGTGAATGGTGCGCGTTGTGATGGCTCCCGTTTATCTGGATGGATTTCATTTCCATGATTCTTTGTCCTGTTGAAAAAGAGATTATGCTTTGAAGGGTTTTTTCATACTTAGGTGTCTTTATCAGTTCTCTTAATGCTGTCTGGTGTATATATTACCATTTTGCCACGTTGAAGTAGAGTCAAGAAAAATTGATCACTCACTCTCTTTTGAGGAACAAAGCCAATCTCTTCCGTATTGAATTTGATTACTTGGCTGGTTTACTTATTCCTTCTTTCTGTTACAGTTCTTGCTACTCTTCCATCTACTTTTGAATGGTATTTTTATGTACTATCTTCATCCTGTTTCAGCAGTGTCTGAGGGAGCCATTGATGGATTGAGTAGTGTGAATGATTCAATTCTAATGACTTAATGCTGGTGGTCTGAGTGCACCTGCTTATGTGGTATTAGTTTAATCTAGATCTGATTACAGCAGGAGATGGCGGGAGAATCTAAGTTCTGTTTTTTTGGCTGTCTTAGGACAAGAAGTGATAAATGTTTAAAGTAATTTTGCTAAGCTATCAGCTGTTAGAATTTCTATGAGAAGCATGAGGATGTCTTTATAGAAAATAATGTAAAAACCACTATTGGGTGCCATAAGCAATGAAGTGTATAGCTTATGTGGCATTTATATTTAAAATGTAGTAATGAATGACTTCAGAAGACCAAGAAACTGAGGTCAATTAGCAACTCACCAGGACCAACTAGTTAGAAATATTAATTTTCCTGCAGTCAGTTTCAAGTATGAATGAACAGCAATAAGTGGAGTTGCTGAAGTAAATCTTACAAAACCAAAATGCCCTGCAGCACAGGTCATGTACCGATGATGATGTATCTTTTGATAGATCTTAATTTCTTTTAAGTTGGTTGTTTGTTTTTTTTTCTTCCACCACATGAATAGAAACTCCTAAGAATAAGTTTCACTAATGGATCACTTCATAATGTATTTCTTAAATCTTCTGAAACACTTGAGGAAAAAACCCACACAAAACCCAGACAGGAGCCCTTGAGCTGGAGTCTGAGGCTCGCGTATCTCAGGCCATCCTTGGGAAAAGTTGGTGGATGCAGCTGGAACTGAGTGAGTAGCTGAAGCGCCAGAGGGAACTTCTCTCATCACCTCGGTGTGTGCGTGGCCTCACGTGCCTCCTCACAACCACCCAGAGGATTCCCCGGTTCGTCTATCTCCAAAGCGAGCTTCCAGCTTATTCGGGGATGGGGACAGCATCACCGCTCAGAGTTTCTGATGAAGTTCGTTTAACTCGGGCTGGACACCTGAAGGAAGGTGCGGATGTCCAAGTGATGCAGCACATCGAATCCTCGCGGAGGGGAATGTCAGTGCTTTTGCTGGAGTGCAGTCATTTGACTGCAAAATTACCTCTTATAAACCAAAATACTTCAAAGCAGTGGGAACTGGCACCACCTCTGCAGACCCTTGTTGAATTGATGAGTGCCAGTATGGTCAGTTGACTGCTGCTGGTGGCAGAAATTGTCTTCATTTTGAGAAGATGAGAAAGTATGAAATATGAGCACGTGTCATCTAAACAGAAACTTGACAGTGATGCAATTTTTCTCAAGTTTAATCTATTTTTGCTTATCCAAAACTTGTTTTGAAACGTTTTAAAGCACTTTTCCTGGAGAGTGGAGAATTGCACCACATCCTCTTTTGACTTTAAGCAAAAGATTGTGGCAAATTAGAGAAGTTCTTCAACACCACAATAAACTGCAGTGGATGAAAGTTTTAAAAACTGGTCTTTGCTTTTGTAGTTGACTTCTGGTGTGTTGTCTGCTATTCACCAGAGTACTGCTTGGGACTTCTCCTTAGTCCTGCTGCTTCTCTCAGTTTCTTCTGTTAGGTATAAATAAAGGTTTTAAAAGCACAGAGCATTTGCTGTGTGTCCCAAATACGTAGACATTCCAGCTTCCCGTATCTGTGTTAAATATCTTGAATTGAATTTAAGGGAGAAACATATAAAATCTTATTTTTGCCATAACTAGTTCATATTGGGTTTGCAGATCAGACTTTAAAGCTTTATGTCATGCCATTTGGGGTTTTTTAGTTTGTTTATCAGTAAGATACAGAGTTTTATAACGGAAAAGAAACACAGGGCGTACCTTGAGACACTCACAGCTATACTACTACCAAAGGGCTTATGTTGAACTTTGTCTTCACATACACATAGTGTCTCTTGTATCTTATAACTTTATCCAAACCTTTTGAAACTAATTATTATATATTCAACATCTAATAGCAAAGTACTGGTTTGCACCCTCGAGCAGCGGTTGTGCATTATAGCAGAGTGGTTTTGGGGGTTTTTGTTGTTGTTGGGTAGTTGTTGCTTTTGGTTTTTGCTGTGGCTGGCAGTTCCCGATCCCTAGAAAGACGACGTGCTGTGCAAGCCCAATCCGCTTAGCTGGAAATAAGCTTCTTCAATTACTTTATAGAAAGCTCTTGGCTTGACCAGAGTGCCATGCCTTTGCTTTTCTGTCATAAAGTGTGTGTCACGGAAAATACACCTCCCAGTGTGTAAGTGTCTTGGGCATTGGCCTGTATGTAGGTAGTCTTTTAGCAGAAACCTGTGGGACTTTTTCAAAGTTGCACAACAGAAAATGAATAGACCTAATATGTAGAAATGCAGTTATTTTAGTAGCACTTCGGTATCTGTATGAGTGCTTAGTTGTTTCGGAGTTTCTGAGAAATTAATTGCACATTAAAACCTACTCAGCTCTGTCATTCCCTTTTGGGGAAAACTTCTGCAGCTTGTGTTTGAATGTGAAATGCTTTTATTGAAGTAGGTGATAGAGTGAAAATTCACAATGTGCTACTGTGAAGTTAAAATGCAAATTTGTGTTTTCCGGAGGCTTTGTTAAGTTGTGGGATGCCATTTTAAGATGGCAATGCCAGGTAACTAATTCATGGCTCCATCCGTAGACATCCCAGCCTCAGGGTTCGTCTGTCGTCTTCTCAACTTCCTTCTGCTGCGATTTTTATAAACATATCCCCAGTGTTACATTGTGTTACTTGTGCTTAATTTCATGATCCTACAGCGTACTAAGCAGTTTTGTTTTATGTGAAGATACCCCATCTTACAAAGCATGTATACAATGGCACCACTACATGTTTTCATAACCTAATCAGTTTCTACAGAAGTTGGTTGGCAGGGTGAGACAAGGCAGGACTCTAGACCCTCATGGTGAAAGTCTTGTGCACGGAGAGTATAAGAACTACTAAAAAATTGATATAAATGAAAGCAGAGAGCCCGACTAATTCCTTGGTCTCCTGCAGGCCTTCTGTGTTAGGGTTAGCAAGGGCGGTCTTTCTTCTGAGTTCAATTAATTCCATTCCAAATACTCCATCTCTGTTAAGCATGCCCAGAATTTTGGACTTTGACATTTACCTTGCATAGGCATGACTGTACATTTGTACTGGGCTCGTAGCTTCTTGTCGCTGTGGGTTCTGCTGACGTTTCGTGAGTGTGTGCCACCTCTCAGCTTGTGTCAATGTGCTTTTACCTTTGCCGACTAGACTGTCAGGTGAGCTGGCTGCAACTCGTGTTCAAAGAACTCATCAACTCTTTAGTTAAGTCTCTTTGAGCTGCTGGATTGTTATTTCCGTGTGTGGCTGTTCTCATTCAAGCTGGGCTAGTTTGAGACCATGCAGGTTAACTCTGCAGTGAAGATGTTCACAGTGCGAGTTGCTGCACTTTGTTTTTTTTCCCCTCCATTTTTTGCACTGCTATTTTCATATGCAGGTGTTTGGGCCTGGGGAAAAGGAGTGTGAATTAGCCTCCCATGTACTGCAGTCCAACACAATACAGGCAGAAGCAGCATTTTCACATGAAATAAGAAAATGTTCAAAGGTTATTTACCATGTAGTGACATCCTTTTGTCATAGTAAGAATGGGAGAACTGCAAGGGAGTAACCAGTAACACCTTTCTTCAGTGTCAACGTGCCTTTCTGTGAATTAATCATCCTTATAAATTATTCATTAATCTTGCACTTTATGGTAAATTCATTCAAGGTATCGTTATAAACACAGACGTTTTAAGGAGATTCTTCTAGGGCAAAGAGCACCTCTGTTCATCTACTCCCTGAAAGCCGAAAACACTGAAATTTCTCCTCGAGTTTGTTAAAATTGATTATTAACTGTATGAAAATAGTCTGCAGGCATGGCTCAGTTAGGTCACGGTTATGCTGATTTCTCTACGTGCAGTGCAAGGTACACACTGGTTCTGAATAAAGCCAGGGGAAGGACCAGGCGGCGGCAGGGAGGCCAAGGCTTTCCTCTGGCCACGCACCTTGCCGGCACGGTGCCTGGAAGCAGAAATCTTTGTTCTGAGTTTTTTAGTTCTTTGTTTTCTAGATGAACGGTGGTGTTAGATGGGTAGCTATGCTTTTACGTTCCCTGTGATACTACAGTTCTCCCAAAGGAAAGTGAGGGAGGTCTTCCAAGCTTTCAGCAGATGTCTGGCGTAGCTGGTGGTAACTTTGAGTGCCGGGTTTAAACTCCCTTATCGCCCTTGTGTGGCTTTTCTTTAAATGTTAAGTCTGTCTGTCTCAGAAAAAGCTAAGAATGTCTTGGGGAAAAGGAAACAATGCTGCTTGTGTTTTCTGTACACTTAATTCCTTTTTGCATTGCTTCTGCTGTAATATTTTTATTATGAATTGGCAATAAATTGTGCAGGAAGGTGTGGGGGGGAGAGGTTAGGTGCTGCAGGTAATTAGGGAATTGGTCCTTTAATCTGATAAATGGGCTTCAAACTAGGTTCAGGCAGTAAAAGGTAAAGGAGTGGTGCCCTTTTTGTAGTTTCAATATTCTACATCTTTAAACCATTACTCAGTTTGGCACATATCAGCAAAGTTTTAACTTTCTATGGGGGAAAAGTCCAGGTGTAAAACACCAGGGAGTGTTGTATTTGAAGAGTAGCTTACACTGGAAAAAATGGTTTTGGAGACGCTCTTAGCATGTCTTCCATGGCAATCTATAGCTGCCAATCTCTTTATGCCACTTTCTGAGCATTATTTGTTTAAAAGCATGTGAAGTGGGAAAATAACTTTTCTGGAAGAGGTACTGATTTGTGAAATAATGCGTAATATTGCTTGGTTTAATTTTTATCTTTAGCTATAGTCTTTTCCACAAAATTCAGTTGTCCAGTCTTTTATTAAACTGTTATTTGGGGAGCTTCATTGGATGAGCCGTTGCATGATAGCAACTAGAATATCTAAGAAGTTTAATTTTTTTTTTTTTTAAATTATTTTTCTGCCAGGTGTACCTCACTGTGTAACCATCTGACTGCCTTCACCCTCGTTCAAAACAATCAGAGGCACGAGTCCTAGGGGCTCCATGTTCCTCCTCTGATTGACAGGAAACCAGTACTCATTTTATACAATAGCTAAACATTGAAAAAGGCATACGGCACAGGAAATTCTTTTGCTGTGTGTGAAGGTAGGCATTTCCAAACTGAAAGTGTTGTTCTGACTATTTCACCGGTAGTGGTGAGTTATATGAGGCCACTTCCATCTGCAGAGAGTGTTTCACTTGCTTGTGGTTCTGGGGCTCATTCAAATGCTCTAAAACAAAATAAAAGGAATGGATGTAATAACTTCTTCATGGAAAAGTCATAAAAAGCTACAGGGCCGTGTAAACAAATTGGGTCATTTACAACATGTTTAAGTGATGGATATTCAGTCCAAATTCAAAGGTGTGGATTAGGTTTTACAGACATCTTGACTGAATTTTGCCCTCAACAAGGCTTTCTTTTTCTGCCAGAATGCCTTTGATGCTATAGATGACAAATTCTCAGAACTGGTGTTTTCAAGAATTTTGGTGCGTTTAGAGTAAAGCTGAATAGTATGTATCATGCTGCAATTCAGTAGTGTGATTTAATCTTTCCCCGGGTGAATGAGGGGCCTTTCTTGATCCGCACGGTTACTCTGTAAAGCCGTGGTGGAACTTTGTAGCGTTCCTGGGGCAGATAAGCTGAAAGTTTCCCTTTTGGGTTCAAACATGCCTGAACTAATTACAAAGCAACCGTTTTGGCTCTCTGCGCTGTTCATATAAATAGGTTTGCACAGAGCAGCAGCGACTGTGATCCAAGCTAAACTGCGCCGGTCACAGAAACTTCTGTCGGACCAAACTGCAGCGTTGAACGTTGTATCTGCGGCGCCTCAACTCGCGAGACCCTGGTGACTCATTTCATCACTTGTTGGACAGTGCTGAAAAAGCAGAATGGAAAAGAGGATAACTCATGCTTTTTCATGTTAAAATATGTTCTGCAGTGTTATTTATGTGCTTCAATGTAGATGAAAGCTCATGTATGCACAAATTTCTGAAGTTTGGGGAAGGGGCATTGGTGTTAGCTACTGTGGGGTGCTTTCCTTCTCGTGAGATATGGTTACTCAGCTCTGCTATTACCAATGCAACTTGAACTACCTTTCATAACTCTTCATGCATT